ACTAAACATACAAAATTTTCTTTTTAAAACACATAATTTTATATTTTCACATAAACCAGTAAAACGCATATGCCAGTAATAAATATACTTTATAATTAATGAGATAATGATACTAGAAAGTATAGAAAAATAATATTTTAATCATTTTCCAAACTTTCAGAGCAGACTGTATACAAATGCTGAACTTCTCGCGGGAGTTCTGAGCCCTCCAGATAAATTTTCAAGGTCATTACATTCCAATCTTTCCATAAAGAGGGATTGCATCACGCCTGAAAGTTCAATGGACCTAAAATGTGCAGCTACAGAAAAAATCGTGGTTCTGCACATTCTTTTTAGAAAACTGGGAGGATTTTCTTGTTGCTGGTGTGTACAGAACACCCCGCGCGAGTGATCGCGGATTAAATAAGGGAGCTGCGCAGACGAGGTGGCCGAGTGGTTAAGGCGATGGACTGCTAATCCATTGGCCTCTTCCCGAGTGTATTTGAATCCCATCCTTGTGTCGAGTTATTCTAAATGTTTTAAATTTTTTTTTACATTTAATCATCCTTTTTTTGATTCAACGTATGAATAGAAATTAAACATGCGACCTACGTAGATGAGGTTGCCGAGTGGTTAAGGCGATGGACTGCTAATCCATTGGGCTATGCCCGCGTACGTTCGAATCCCATCCTGGTCGTGTTATTCTAAATGCTTTAAAAGTTTTTTCTATTTTATTTAATCATTCGTTTTTTGATTCAACGTATGAATAGAAATTAAACATTAGAGCGACGCAGACGAGGTGGCTGAGTGGTTAAGGCGATGGAATGCTAATCCTTTAGGCTCTGCCTGCGTGGGTTCGAATCCCGTCCGTTTTGAGTTTTCTAAATGCCTTACATTTTTTTTACACTTATTCATTCCATTTTTGATTCAACGGATCAATAAAAAAAAAAAAAAACGGACCATAGTAGATGATGTGGCCTATTGGTTAAGGTAATGGACTTCTAGTCCATTGGGCTCTGCCCTCGTGGGTTTGAATCCCGTCCTCGTCGTGATATTCTAAATGCGTTTTTTTATTACATATAATCATTATTCTTTTAAGGGAACGGATCAAAAATACTGAACGGAAGAACGGCGTAGACGAGGTGGCCGAGTGGTTATGAGTATTACTGGGAATCCATTGTGATCTGCCTGCGTGGGATCAAATCCCATTCTCGTTGTAAAATTCAAAATGAAATTTTTTATTACACAAATTCATTTTTCTTCTATGGCAACGGATCTATTAATCTTAAAAAAACGAATCGCGTAGACGAAGTGGCTGAGTGGTTAAGGCGATGGACTGCTAATCCATTGTGATCTGCCTGCGTGGGATCGAATTCCTTTCTCGTTGTAATATTTTAAATGCACTTTGTATTACGCAAATTCCTTTTTCTTCTAAGGCAACGGATCTATAAATCTAGAAAAAACAAACGGCTTAGACGAGGATGCAGAGTGGCTATGGAGATGGACTACAAATCTATTAGGATCTGACAGCGTAGATTCGAGTCCCATTCTTGTCGAGTTACTTTAACTCCTTTAAACTTTCTTTTTACGCTTAATCATTCCTCTTTTGATTAAACGTACGAATAGAAATTAAACAATGGAGCTTTGTAGGTGAGGTGGTCGAGTGGTTAAGGCGATGGACTGCTAATCCGTTGGGCTCTGCCCGCATGGGTTTGAATCCCATCCTCGTCTTGATATTCTAAATGCGTTTTTTTTTATTACTCATAATCATTATTCTTTTAAGGGAACGGATCAAAAATACTGAACAAAAGAACGGCGTAGACGAGGTGGCCGAGTGTTTAAGGAAACAAACTGCTAATCCATTGGGATCTGCTAGCTTAAGATCGAATCAGATTCTCGTTGTAATATTCTAAATGCCCTTTTTTATTACACAAATTCATTTTTCTTTTAAAACAACGGATCTATAAATATTGAAAAGAAGAATTGCGTAGACGAGGTGTCCGAGTGGTTAAGGCGATGGGCTGCTAATTCATTGGGCTCTGTCCGTGTGGGTTCAAATCCCATCCTTTTTGATTTATTCTAAATGATTTAAATTTTTTTTTTTACACTTAATCATTCTTTTTTTCACTCAACGAATCAATAGAAATTAAACAAAGGAGTTGCGTAAACGCGGTGCGCGAGAGGTTAAGGCGATGGACTGCTAAGCCTTTGGGCTCTGCCCGCGTGGGTTTTAATACCAACCTCGTAGCGATATTCTAAATGCGTTTTTTTATTACACATAAACATTATTCTTTTAAGGGAACGGATCAAAAATATTGAACGGACGAACGGTGTAGTTGAGATGGCCGAGTGGTTAAGGAAAATGACTGCCTATCCATTGGGATCTGACTGCGTGTGAGATCGAATCCCATTCTCGTTGTAAAATTCAAAAAGAACTTTTTTATCACACACATTCATTTTTCTTCTAAGGCACCGGATCTATAAATATTGAGAAGAGGAATTACGTAGACGAGGTGGCCGAGTCGTTAAGGCAATAGATTGCTAATTCTTTGGGCTCTGCCCGCGTGGATTCAAATCCCATTCTTGTTGAGTTATTCTAAATGATTTAAATTTTTGTTTTTTTACACTTAATCATTCTTTTTTAATTCAACGAATCAATAGAAATTAAACAAAAGAGCTGCGTAGACGAGGTGGTTGAGAGGTTAAGGGGATGGTATGCTAATCCTTTGGGCTCAGCATGCGTGGGTTCGAATCCCATCCTTATAGAGTTATTTTAAATGCATTAAACTTTATTTTACTCATATTCATGCCGCGTTTCTGATTCAACGGATGAATAGAAATTCAACAAAGGAGCTGCGTAGACAAAGGTTTCGAGTAATTAATGCGATGGATTGCTAATCCATTGGGCTCTGCCCGCGTGGGTTCGAATC